CAGAGATTAATGAACTTGTCCATTATTAACTTCGCAAGTAAAAGAGATGGGATTAGAATCCAGCGATCTGGAGCCAGAATATGTGATCTTAATCATTATATTACTCCATATAATAAAAAACAATTTGATGGATGTAATTATATTCACAGATACTAAATTGTGACAGAAAGTAACATGAAAAGCGACTTTCTCAACTTGCATATTCATGCTGAAGGATCAGAAATTTCCTGAAGGAGCATAATGAAATCTTTTCCTTTTGACTTTGAACAAGTTTAAGTAATTGATTCAAATGTCCAATGGCTTTTTTTTTTTTTTTTTTTTTTTGGTCCTGAAATAATTCCAAATGGTCATTTACAAAATATTCTAAACAGGTACATTTTGAGTAGTTGGGGTAGGTCAGGCAGTAAAATAAATTGACATAAAATAATTGATTAATGCAACTTCAGAGAAAAAAATTATACCACTAAACAAGAACCTTAAAATTTTATGTTCATAACCTAAAATAGCATGAATAAGAAAAAGTAAAAACTTTAGATCACTTTTAACCTGACTCCAGAGATTAAAAAAGCTGTTACTGAATCCAACACTATCCTTACTTGATGGGGAAGAAGACCCTGAGAGAGGAAACCCAACTCTATAGGAAAGAATAGACTTAGAAAATTGTTCTTTGTAGTTTTTTCAGGGGTAGTAAGAGACAATCTCCCTTGCTGTCCTACGCTCACCAGCAAGAGTTTCACGAATAATCCTAGATTGGGGAATTTGACCAGGCAACTCCGAACAGAGAAAAACATCAAGGGACACACAGGAGAACCTGAGGGCTACTGAGTGTTCTGGTCTCCTGGTCATAATTTTTGGTCCTTATGAGCATTCCAAATGGCCAGCACACCTGGGATGTCTTGAAAAGCTTGGAATTTGCAGTAAATAAAAACCTTCATGAATCAGTCACACAGCCCCTGTTCCTGCCCAGTAAAAACTGCTACACTGAGAATTATGGGATGTAATCAAAACAGTCCCTTACTCAAGGGGGCTGACCAGATCAGTGTCAACAACCTTCCATGAGCAAATGAAATAAGGCATGTTGATTATTCTGACTTTCAAGTAGATTCAGATAAACCTGATAAAGGTGAATAAAATATGAAACCAGTTAAAGAAACATACTGCAAGGTAGGAAATGGTTACACTCATGATACATAGTATTTGTCATGAAATATCTTCTTTAAAAAATCTAAAATCTCTCTTCTTTTGTGAATGAAAAACAACAAAATCAATTTTTGCTTTATCAAGAATTTTTGTCACAAAAAAGTAATCATCTTCTTAAGCTTTGATATGGCCATCATTCAGAATATCACATTTTTATTTTACCATTAAATTGGCTTAAAATAATTTTTCTCATTAGAAATGTGTGTGATACTTTAAGAAACAATAAGGAATATGTGGCTCATATATTTAACATTTGGCAAACTATCAAAGGTGATGATGAATGTTACTACCCTCATGAACTATATATATATATATATATATATATATATTTTTTTTTTTTTTTTAAACTAGGCTCCATGCCCAGAGTGGAGCCCAATGTGGGGCTCAAATTCGGGACCCTGAGATCAGTACTTGGGCTGAGACCAAGAGTTGGACACAACCCATTGAGCCACTCAGGTGCCCCTCATGAACTATAGTCTATCTCAAATTTCATAACAATAATGCTTGCAATGTCCAAAAACCCCACAAAAATTAAAAAATAAAGAGCTCCAGGATCATGGAAATTCCTCTAAGAAGACCATTATTTTAGAGACAATATGATTTTTTAGAGCACAGAGATTCAATCCTGATTCTTTGTTAACAATTTAGCGTCATCTGACCAATGAACACTTCTGATTCAGACTGCTGTCCAATGATAGCAGTCTTTGACTTTTAGTTAATGTTAATGTCATGGTAATGACTACACACCAAAAGGCCCATTCCCCAAAAATGCATCCTATAGAGTATAAAAATCTTTAAACAAATATACACTGAAAATTTGGCATTAAAAATAGTGTTCTTCCTAAAATATATAAGGAGAAGAATGAATTGAATCTCTTCTATAGTACTACTTCTGGTAGTTTCTGACACTTTCTTAGCTGTTGAGATATTTCTTTTTGCTTCTTAAAAACAAAAATAAACAAAATGTACTCTTACTATAACAAGCTTTCATCAGCATATTAAAAAATAGCTCCTATTCTGATAACTGAAAATTACAAATGCTTATATTCTTAAGAATAAGGTAGGAAAGAGTTAACATGAATATTTCTACTCAATGCCCACACCTCCAGGGGGAAAATGTTTTTGAACCTTAAATTATAGGGATGAAAAGTAGAAGGGTCCCACCAATTGTGAAGTTCAGTGAGGAATAAAACATTGTAATCTCAGCTGTCAGCTTAAAAAGCATCTCTCAGAAGCTTCGTTCCAACTATAATAACTTGGTGTGCTTATTGGAAAAAAAAATTTATGATCATGTGAGCTTCATGCATGATTGATACCATTACTGTTTATTTTAAGACTGTCCTTGAGAATCAATCAAATAAGCATTCCCAGTGTATGTTTTGCAACCAAGAATGAAGAACACAGTATAAGTGCTTTTCTGGAGAATATGTGATAGATATTCTTCCTATTAGAGCTTCCTACCAAAAAGAAATATCTAATAAAGGTGAATCAGGCAGAAATTCATGTTGGAAAATATCCTGTCATTCCATGTTCTTCATAGTATGTTGAATTAACAAGCAGCTACTCTTATGATTAAAAAGAGAAAGATAGAGGTTATCATTATACATAAGGAAGTACATAAACCCAACTAAGGATATGCTCAAGTGCTTAAAAAAACTAATTGGAAATAATACAAACTATGAAGCATAATCTAATCTAAGTCATTAGGAAATCTCCATTGTAACAAATAAGGTTTGTAAGGTCTCAAATGGCACTAGCCCCTTATCATTCATAATTAAATATTTGCATCGTGTAATAAATATGGATGACATAACTTAAATACTCTAAAAAAAATAACTCTTTTTCCATGAAGCATTTTTTTCACATACATATTAAAGAAGGGATCATGTATATTTGAAGTGAAATCTCTTTTTGAGTAAAATCAACTTTTCTTGCATAATAATATCTGACTGAACTGAGCAATTCAAACTATAAAGAAATACAATAAAATGTATGTCTAGTCTCAAAAAGAAGACCTAATAATCATCCAAACACTGATGCTATCCCAACAATCTCTGAAAGCAAATCTAAGACTTTACTAAAGCAAGTAGCCATCAATCCAGACTTTCCCTTCTGCTTCATAGTGAGCAAAATAAAACCAAGCACTTACTTTTACCCACCTTCCCCATGCCCCACCTTACCGCCATCACTTTACTACCATCAAACTGAAGTAAGTCCCTTAGCTTACAATATAAACAACAGCTTGCCATTTTCATTCCTTCAGTCTATGAACTAATTACTCCTTCATTTCAATATTAAAACATCTTTTGATTTTAGTATTAGATAGAAAAATCCATCCGTGGCATAGAACTCTAAAAGTTCAAATTTGCTATCAAGAGAAGTCTGGACTTTCGGCCCCTTTGCATCTCTCTTTTTATTCAGAAAACCAAAGTTGTATTTTTCAAAAGGTTAAACAGTTCTGGTTTTCAAAATGGGGTTTTTGTGTAATACAATCATACTTAACATCTGTAAACTTTTTAAACTCTTGATAATGGCTCTTACTTTTTCAAATACTTTCTCTACCAACCATCACTTATTACATGTAGTCCTAAGAACAGTTTATATAAACAGTTATATATTCAGAATATGGCCTCACACATGGCCTTTATTATGCACACTTTGTATATAAATCTGTTACATGAAACATGTTTAAATGCTGTGCAACAGGTCCTGCTATTGTGTAAACACACACTCCCAGCAAAATGACAGTAAGCTTTAAAAAATCAACAATGTTTTAAAAATCACATTATTCTTCAGAGATTTAATTGTAATTCTTTTGAGATGTCAGAAGACAGAAGATTTCATCAAAAGGAGTATATTTTACTAAAACCTTTTAACTGTCTTTGTATTCCACTGTGTATGTTATAAACTGGAGTTAGAGCCCAGGTGTATACACACTTTCATTGATTTACTGCACATTACTGGCTTTAGTGCTGAGTTGATGACAGGAAGAGTACTTTGGCAGAGGTCTGACAAGTCCTTATCCTCAAGTTCCCTTCTGCTTTATGTCTGTCTGTTCCCAAATCTATCAAAGTAAAGCAAATGACAGACTAAAGCCTCTCAGTTTTGCCAGGGGAGTGTGAAATCAGATTAAAAACACACCTCGCAACTATTACATTGGGCCACGTTTTATTTTCAGTTGGTGGGGGAGGGGAAGAGAAGACACTTTAAAAGAGATGGATTTCATGTTCTCTGTAGTCAGATCTAGCTGCAGTATATTAAGTTATGTCTAAATGAGAAAAAGACTGTCTAGTCAAGTGTTTTATCACAAAGTAATGTTATTAAACATATCAAGTATTCCCACGCTCTCCTCTAGATTCTTTGATTTTTAACCTCCTTTGTTAGGCACAGAACACGGGGAGAAAGATTTCAGGAACAATACCAAGGAAGCACATGATGCCAAGCAATGAATTCTGTATTTCCTGAACGGTTTATTCATCATACACTCAAACTGCTTTTTTTAAAGCCACACGTTTGCTGTATGTAGGACTTCGCCTCTTCCCTGGGTGACAAGCATGGACCGGCTACCAATGTATCTCCGAGCGCGCAGCATCGTGCTTTGTGCTGCTGGGGATAACGGATTCTCAGTCTCGCGCGCATCCATCACCTAAGACACAGGGAAACTCAACCAGGGTCTCGGCGGCTGCAAAGGAAACAATGTGTAGAGACCCAGGCTGCTCTGACCAGATCCCAGGAGTGAACGAAATGTTTCAGGGAGCAGCCCAGGCAAGCGAGAAGGAAGAAGGCTCTCATACTCTTACCTCCACATTGAAATACTGCTCCGTTCCGCAGACGGTAGCACATAAAATCCAAAGCAAGGTTTGCAAGAAAAATACCCCCGAATGATGCACGAAATCCAACCGTCTTCCAGTGCTGAATGTGAGTAAGATCATAGTGAACTGTGCTTCAATGGATGGACGAGCTCCCCTTCGTTTTCTCTCTCTCTCCCTCCCTCCCTGGTTTCCTTTCAAAAAAAAGTCCTCCGGGTGGGTAAGGAGCCTGCAGGTTCACCCACAGCCGGGCAAGGAGAGGAGACTGAGGGCCCAGCACTCAGCAGCCCCCGAGAAACGGCGGCGGAGGCAGGGTCAGCAGCAACCTGCATTCACCATCCTCGGGGGCCCGTCACTGGGAACGTGGCGCCCAAGTTCACCGGCGGTTCCGGCTCAAAGCGCCGAGTCGCAGCCGCAGCAGCAGCCGCCGCCGCCGCCGCCGCCGCCACCTCCAGCCCGTGCGTCCTGGTCTTCCTCCTCCTCCTTCTCCTCCTCCTCCTCCACCGCCCACTCCTCCGCTGCCGCCGCTGCCGCCTCCTGCTTCTGCGGGAAGGGCCTTCGCCGCTCCTCGCTTCTCGCCTTTGCTTCTCCTTCCCTCCTCTCTTCGCTCCCCTCCAGAATGTTCATCCGTAATCTACATAACTCCTCCTTCCCAGGGTCTGCCTGACTCTCCAGCTCTCAGCGCGCGCGCGCGCGCGCACACACACACACACACACACATACACACACGCGCACACACACCAGCGAGCGCGCGCGCGCACACACACACACACACACACACACATATCTACACATGAGCACACACACAACTCCACACACATACGCGCGCGCGCTCTTCTTAAAGGAGACTGCTTGTGAAGGGGAACCGCTACTGTACCGCGCACTGGAAGTGGCCAGACCTTCAGAAGGGCCATGGATTGGGAGGAGGTCCTTGGCCTGCCGCCCACCCCCTCATCCCCGAGACTAGAACCCAGCAACCTGGGCGGCTCCAACCTTTCATCTCGCCCACCCACTCCGGAGCATCCAGAAACAAGTGCGCCCCTCCCCGGCCGGGGACTGGGTGGGGCTCAGGCTGCGGACCCTGGCTTGGGCTGGGGAGTGGCCCAGGCCTGGTCCTGGAGAGCCGCTGGCGTCCTCAGTCAAGCGTCCCTGGAAGGTCAGGGGGCGCGGGGAATCAGGGAGCGCCGGAGTCACTGTGCGCTGTTTGGGCGCTCGCGTAGGTTGCCAGGCTGGTCAAGTTTGGGAAGCCTGAGAAGGCAAGTCCCGAGCGTCCAAAACTTTATTGGGGTCCACAGACCAAGCCTGTGGCCTGTTGTTTCCCTGAATTTCTTCTACCATCACTACACCCCACCTTTTTGGGCTAAGGGAGTAGGCACGGGGTTTGGGGGTTGGTGTCTAGTCAAATACAGAAGCGGGAAGAAAATGCTCACTTTCCAAAAATGTCCTATCCGCTGGACGTACGTACACACTGGGACCCAAAAGAGGTGGTCCCGGACGTTAACAAAACACCGGGCCAAGGAGGGTGGGGACGCTGGAAAGAAACCCTGCTTGCAAGAGCAAGGGGAAGGGCTGGGGAAGAAAGGAGGGGAGCAGCCTGAGGAAAGGCGAGTAAAGCAGCTGGCAAGGGCGGGAGGAAGAGGCTGCGCGCAGACCGAGCGGGGGAGACGCTGGCGGGAGCGAGGAGAGCTGCAGGCTGGAGGAGGAGGCTGCTGGCAAGCAGCACAGGAGAGCTGCGGGCAGGGGAACTTCAGAAGAGGCTTCCAAAAAGGACTGGAGCAGCAGCAGCAGTGTGAGGCAGTGGACAGCGGGGGCAGCAACCGCCAGCCCCTGGCAGGTGATGCTTTGGCTGAAAGAGAAAGGGGGAAGGGAAGCAGGTAGGCATCTGTTTGGGGGCCATGCCAATAAATGTGCTTCTCCTTGGCAGCCAGCAGAGGGGAAGAGGAGCCCACGGGAAAGAAATGCAGGCGAGGTTCAGAATAAAGGCTGCTCCCAGGTATGACAGCTACCTCGGTAAGATGGAAGACAGAATTGACAAGGCAAATTTCATGGATGAGTTAGTAAAGAAGAAGTAAAACTGCAAGAGGTCATATTTGGTAAGCAAATGAAAAAAACATTGGAAAACTTTTTGCCAAAAATTGCATTGGACTGTCATAAAATGTATAGGAAGGAGAAACAAAAAAGCAAAGGAATAGGATTTTGTAGCTAATGCTTTAAAAACTGAAGGAAATATGACCCACCTACTTTGACCCAAGACTCAGAGAGCCTTTTCTGACTGACTGTTCTATGCACATATGCTATCCATAAAATAATCTTGAAGACATAAGAAGAAATACCTTATATTGTACAGCATATTAAAATTTGCAGAATATTTTCACACATAGTATCTCATTTAATTCTCAGAACATTCTTGAGGATTTTGTTTTTGTTTCACAGATGGAGAAACGATGGTAATAAAAGATAACACTCCAGGAAACCATTCAAGTAGCAGAATTCGGACCTGAGTTTTCTCCCAGTTCAATGCATTTCCTGCTACATGGCAGTGACTTTCCATATAGGAATTCATTTCTCCTCTTAACACTTTTATAACCCATAGGTTGGAATGAGTACATAAAAACAAAAACCAAACAAAACACGATTAGAAAGCAAGATCATTATATACAAGGTATAGTGTTGTGTGCCAAAATAAAGTAACAAAACGTGGTAGAGAGTATTTGTCAATCAACAATCATTTTAATGTATACATTATATTTAGCAAAGTGCAAAATTAGAGAGGGGAGAGAAACACACAAAAAATTATACCCTTTTCCTAATCCTTGAGATAGTATTGAAAGGAGGGAGATTTTTAAAATTTATGCAAGTTGTACCTGAGAAAATGATTCTAAATGGGGAAGTCCTTGCTAAATGAGCCAGAATATTAGCAGACTTTGTCAAGGAAGTGGAATGCAAGTTGAGTGCTGCTGGCTATCTGCAAAGAGGGATTTCTCACTGCAAGCAACCTGTTTGTTGAAGAAAATACCTACGCTCAGAATAAAGAGATGTGCAGAATAAGATATGGGGAGGGGCTTGCAATGAAATATTGAGTTAACATTTCATCAATAGTCAAACAAGGATTGCTAAACCATTTTAGATAGGAATAGGTACTAAGAAAGTTTATCTTCAGAATTATACGTAGGATTGGCGATGGGGACAAACTGAATGCAAAGAAGTAGTGGTTTTAAAAGGTTGTAGTCCAGCAGTGAAACTATGAGGACCTATTTTAGTGAGGTATCCTTGGAGACTTATGCCCTTAAGGAGCCAAGAAACAAGGAAATAAGAGTAGGGAATCATAAATTCAAAAGTTAATCTCAAATTAATGATTAGTAATAATAAATTTTTGCAAACATTTATTAAAGTCTTTGGTGGGCATTCAATGAGCAATGAATGAGTTAATATGTATTCAGGGTTCTAGAAATACTGACAGAAATAAAATAAATAAAAAAAAATACTGAGACCAACGTGTAATAATTATGGCACTGTTGTAAGGACTCAGGTAAATATGTGAGATGCTACAGAACAGGGTGAAAGAAGGTATTTGATTTTTCTTGAGGTCCCTGGAGAAAGTACCATGAAAGTACTGGTTTTCAAAGGGTATCTTGAAGAAAGAGTAGAAATTGACCAGTCAGATAAGAAAAGGAAGGATATTTCAGACATGTGTGCCATGGAGGAGTAAACATTACAAGTATCTGAAGAACTACAAATGGTTTGTCAGGCCTGGACACCAAGGGGGTGTGTAAAGTCAGGTTAAGGTCAGAGGTTGCAGAGATCATATCAGGAAAAGTCCTGTGTGCCACTTCAGGCTTTAGACTTTTTAGTCTAAAAGAATTTTTAGGAGGAGGTAATTGAATTTTCATTGCATTTGTTGTATGTTTGCCAACTCTGTGGAAACAGTCACCTTTTAGAAGTGCTTATATTTTTTACTTCAATGTTCTATTAAGCATTTAATATCTACTGTTTTTTGGACCTTATATCTGTGCTAGTAAAATAAGCCTGACAAAACAGTTCCCCATATGGACTCATCTGGGTACCTGTGGAAATGTAATCACTTTCCTTGTCAGGTAAGTTTGTTATTCCATCTCTCATCCGTAAGGTAGGCTTATCTTTTAAGAGTCAAAATCATGAAGAAGTTCCTACTTTCATATCTTAGTAGTGATAGCTTCTTAGTTGGTGGTCTTCTTAGAGAAGGTCTTGTTTTTCTATCCTCAGTAAGTTAAAATGTAGAATATCATTCTCCCCTTTAGAGTGTTAATTAAATCTCTCCTCACAACTCTTGGCCCTTGCTGTGTGTGCTTCCTGTCACATACTTCCTTTCTTCTCACAATTTCACAAAACTAATGAACAATCTCAGAATTACGTGTGAATGGAGAACAGAGAATCCAAACGAGATTAAAAGAAAATGAATAAGAAAGCCAAAGGAAAATAACAATTGACCCTGGCAAAGTTTAATAGCAATTCAATAAAAATTACTTAGAAGGGGTCTGAAAAAGTAAATGATATGTATGACTCCCAAGAGGCAAATTACAGGTACTTATAAGTGAGCAGTTGAGTGGCATGCTGAGACATGTGAATGATTACAGCTACCTAAAATAACATTAGAGGTGAGTAATATAACCATCATGGAACCCAATTTCTTAATGAACTAGAGCCTTAGAAATGAGTTCTCTAGCTTGGAAGTTACATAAACTTGTTTATTCCTCTATCATTTGAATTTATGGGCTTTCTTCTCCATTTGCATCCATTGAAACTACAGTGTTTTGTTTTATTTTAATTCACAGAATATGAGTTAGGGCTGAGCTACAGGCATTCTCACATACATCTGTTATTAGCAGGGGCATGCATATGTAGAACAGTCCCCTACAGCCTTATCATTTAAAGTGTGCTCCCTGGTGGAACCTCAAGCTCTGAGAGCTTGTTGGAAAGGCTGGGTCTCTGCTGCACCCCAAGATCTCCCTGTGATTTATACTCAGGGTAAAGCTGAGAAGTTGCTAGCTATTATCACTGCCCTGGAAGATAATATGTTTTTTTTTTTTTTTCCCTGCTTCCTTCATCAACTTATACTCTCCTTTAACTATCTGTATCTCAAATATTTGGTTTTCTGCTCATTTGTTCACTCTTTCCTCCACTGAACATTCATTAGCCACT